GTCAAGTTCGATTGAAAAATGAAGATATCTGTATTATATACAGTGGTCATAAGTATGTCAATATGGTGTTCATTTCTACTTTCTTGCTCACAGTTCTACTTTAGATAGCTAAGGCATTACCTCAAGAGTTGAAAAAAGGGAAGAGAAAGATAAAAATAAGACAGACAGACACACATACAACATAAAAATAGTGATTTTAGGCCAGGTGTGGTGTCTCACGACTATAATCCCAGCACTTTGGGAGGATTACCTGAGTTCAAGACCAGCCTGGCCAACATGGCAAAACCCCATCTCCATTAAAAATTTAAAAAATTAGCTGGGTGTGGTGGCGTGCGTCTATAATCCCAGCTACCAGGGAGGCTGAGACACAAGAATGGCTTGAATCCAGGAAGCAGAGGTTGCAGTTAGCTGAGATCACACCACTGCACTCCAGCCTAGAAAGCAAGACTCTGTCTCAAAATAAATAAATAAACAGTAATTTTATTTGAGGCAACAAGAGAGACCAAATTCTAGGTTTTTACCTAAATCATGTTCTTTATCATCTATCAACTATTTTTCATTTTCAAAAAACAACTTTAGATCAGATGTGGTAGCTTATGTTTGTAATCCCAGCACTTTGAGAGGCCAAGGTGTGCCAATCGTTTGAGCCCAGGAGTTCAAGACTAGCCTGGAAAACATGGCAAAACACTGTCTCTACAAAAAACCACAAAAATTAGCCAGGCATGGTAGCATGCACCTGTAGTCCCAGCTGCTCAGGAGGCTGAGCTGGGAGGATCGCTTGAGCACAGAAGGCACAGGTTGCTGTTATGAGCCATCAGCCTGAGCGAGAGAGCCAGACTCTGTTAAAAAAAGAAAAAAAAAAAGAAAGAAAAAGAGAGAAAACCCTACTTTATAGGGCTTATCCCTGTTACATTTTAAGTTTTAATTACTTTAATCATAGCACCATTTAAATGCAAAGAATTCAGGCAAGAAGGGTGGTAATGAAAAAACTTTGAGTTGTGAAGAAAAACTTGGTTTGAATCCAGACTACTATTTGCTAGCTGTGTGACTGTGAACAAGACACTTAACTTCTCTGGGCTTCATTTTCCTTAACAGTGCTACGGGAATAAGAACTGCTGTGACAGTCCAATGCAATACTGGATGCAGAACAGTAGTCAAATTTTACTTCTCTTTCCTCAAGAAACAATTTTTTTTTTAAACTGAGAAGAAGTAACTTTGGAACATGCAACTGTTGGTTGGTTATGGATGTGGTGGGGACTCTGAATTGGTAAGGTAAAATATGAACGCAAAGAATAGCACATAGCTTGGAGCAAGAAACTGGGATATGGAAGCCAAATGTAGATAAGCTACTTGTTGCAAGTTGTCATGTTTAAAACTCCTCCTGCTCCATTCAATCTCCCCACTCTAGTTTTGTCCAGTCAGGCCTCACCTGTCACTCACTACCCCTTTCCAAGTAGAAAGAATATGCAGGAAAAAAAAGTGGAGAAAAGCAAACAAGTAACAATGTATGCTCTTGGTGACTTCCTTCCTCTGGGCTCTCATCTCTTTTCCTTTCCACTCTTTCTTATTCCTACAGTAAGTACCTTTCTCAGAGTGATCTCTATGCATGTGAATGATCTGTAAAAAAAATTTAACTTAAACTATAAAATTCCAACCTCCAAGATTCTAAAAAGGTACAAATGTCTTATTTGTTTCAATGTTTTCTTTGAAGGAGCACATATTTCATCAGGTAAAGAAACCTTTGGGATTTTATCTTAAAACCATTTAAAGGCATAATCAAAAGGTTTGAGTATCAAACAAAAGCCACCTATCCATAACACATCCTGTTCACAAAAGTGTCCCAGAAACTCAATATAAACAAAATCCCTCTGTTTATTTCTAGGAGTTAATACACTGGTTTTCTGTATCCAACAGTATGCCTTACATACCCGGGGTTATTATGTTTTCTTCCTCTACTCACAGAGCATCTGTTGCTGACATTAACACTGAAGTCCAAGTTATTCTCACAGACAAAAAAGCAGCTGGTCAAGCTAATCCATTTGTTGACTAGCCACCATCAAGCCTCTGTAAGACTGTCTAGTTAACTTAACCTATATTGTCAGAGTGCATGAGTCAGAACTTCCAATCCTCTTTCTATTAGAATTTAACAACTCTTCTCTGGCACCACCGTGTGAATCGTTTCTTACAGATACAAAAGCAGAAAACATGCTTTAAAAGTAAAAATGTCTAGACTGAATTAAAAAAAGAGAAAGTTACTTTGAGGTTGGGATTATTAAATTAATAACAATAGCTAACAGATAGTATTTTTGCATGCTAGGCACTGTTAAGTGACTTTTAAAAATGAACACAAGGTCGGGCGCCATGGTTCGCGCCTGTAATTCCAGCACTTTTGGAGGCCAAGGCAAGAGGATCACCTGAGGTCAGGAGTTTGAGACCAGCCTGGTCATCCTGGTAAAATCCCATCTCTACTAAAAACACAAAAATTAGCCAGATGTGGTGATGGGCTCCTCTAATCCCAGCTACTCAACCTCTTGAATCCAGGAGGTGAAAGTTGCAGTGAGCCAATATCGTGCCATTCTACTCCAGCCTGGGCAACAAGGACAAAACTTTGTCTCAAAAGAAGAACACAATCTTCACAATAATCTTGTGAGATAAGAACAACTGTTATCTCGATTTTACAGATGAAGAAATGGAAACACAGAGCAAATTACCCCAGCTCATACAGCTTATAAACAGAACTGGAGACCTGGCTCCTGAGCCATCCTCTTAATAATGTAAAGCCCAAATCCCAATTCTTAACAAACATTCAGGCATATATTCAGGCCTTCCTCACACTCTGCAGTACCTATTTTTATTATACTCTACTGACTGAAGTACTACCCTTGCTACTATTTTCAATGTACATTCCAAAACAAAAAATAGTCTCTAAAAATTATGTCTGGGTGTACTACCGTCTTATTTAAAGAGAACAATATCCAGCTTAGATCATTAGAATCTGAGACTTGGAAGTGATTCTGCGGCAATTCATATAAGAAAAGGAAGTTCAGGTTCATAGCACTAAATTGGTTATGCACATTAGCCCCAGATATTCTTTGTTTTGTTTTTTGAGACAGAGTTTCGCTCTTGTTGCCCAGGCTGGAGTGCAATGGGGTGATCTCGGCTCATTGCAATCTCAGCTCATTGCAACCTCTGCCTCCCGAGTAGCTGGGATTACAGGTATGCGTCACCATGCCTGGCTAATTTTGTATTTTTAATAGAGACGGGGTTTCTCCATGTTGGTCAGGCTTGTCTGAAACTCCCGACTTCAGGTGATCCGCCCTCCCGGGCTTCCCAAAGTGCTAGGATGACAGGTGTGAGCCAGGGCACCCGGCTGTGGACATTCTTTTTACAGCTATAAACCAAAGGGTTTTTTTTGTTTGTTTGTTTGTTTCATTAGAAAGATTTGGTACCATCAATGAAATTCAACGTATTTTCTAATACTGAAAAGTTGATTCTCAAAGATATCACAAATAAGATACATTAGTACTAATAACAAAGAGCAGCTAATTTTAGTACTAATACTTCGTAAACTTTAAAATACTGTTTTCATAATAAATTATCAGATTTTTACTATAACACTATAAAATACTCTTACTTCTGCATAGATGAGGAACAGATTAATCACAGTTACGTGACTTGCTTCTCCCCACAGATCTAGTACATAGCATCCTGGAACCCAAGTCTCTGGACTTTGTTCCTTCACTTGACCTCTGCTAATGCCCATTCGAATATCGTAACTTTTATCTAATAAGCTGAGAGATGTTTTATAAATTTAGGCAGAGACAATGTTTTAAACCTATACATACTCAAAATGCAATTTTTTTTAACATGTCTTATGAATAGTCGTGGAAATAAAAATTGAGCATGACAAGGTGAGTTTCAAGACTAACACATACAACGAAATCATGTGCATTTTTGTTAAATACTGTAATAGTCAATGCTCAACACATCACTATTCTCTCATGCCCTCAGTGAAGTGATCCTCAAGGAGGTGAATCTAGACAAAATTGTAGAAAACGTTGCTCTAAGTCTTTCTGGTCCTAATAATAGAAAAGAATAGCCTCAAAGGTATGTCTTTGTTTTCCCTGCTACATTATTTTCTTTTTTCTTTCCTACCCCGAACTATCTTTCAATTATATTATAGTCTAACAAAGAGAACAGGGTGGTTATTCCCATATGGAGATTATGACTGAATAACTCTCACTTCTAACTAATGTATTCAAGACATTGGCTTTGTTCTCCAAACATTTCTTCTGAATGGAACCTTTACGATTATATAACCTTTCCTCAACTGTTCGGAAAGTATAAGTAACTGTGCCCAGCAACACCAGCTGGTCAGAGAGTGAGACGGCTGCCCTAACAATCGAAGTCTTTTCCCTCCATACAAGGAACACCAAGACCTGCTTGGGGAAGCCTAGGGAAGGGGAGCGGGTGGGCGGTACAAAGGAGATTCGGTCCCTGACCTACAGAGCACGGTGCCGGGAGGAGACTCGGGCGAGGGAAAAGCCGCAGCTTCGGCGTCAACAGGGAGACCCCAGACAAGGCTGTGCCTCGGTTTCCTCATCTGCTGAGGAGGGATACACCCCCACCAGCACGCACGCAGGCTGCGGGCAGCAAAGTGGGCCTAGAGCGCTGCAGAGGGGCTGCTTTTAAAAAGCGGATGGCTCCCTGTTTCTCCTCAGCAGTCAGGAACTCCGGGAGAGCACGGGGCAGAGGCCAGCCCGAGTTACAGGGCGCGGTCCCCGCAGCCGTGTGGGCGCCTCCTCGCTCCCGCCCAGAGAGCGGTCGGGCGGCCTCGCCCTCCGCAGCCGCAGCAGCAGCCGCCGGGACGCCCGGCCCGGCCCGGCCCGACCCGGCCGGACCCACCCCGCGCACCCGCCGCCTACCCGGGCCGGGGGCCCCGCCCACCCTGTGCCTGCGCGGCTCGTCCCGCTGGCCCCAGGATCCCCTCCCCCGCTTACTTTCTGGGAGTCCATGGCGAGGGGCTAAGCCCGCTGGGCCCGAACCCGCGACGACCAACCGTGCGAGGAGGCGCAGCGAAGTCGCACACCCCAAGACTGCTACTCACGCACCGACCCAGCCCGCACGGGCACCGCCCGGCCCCACCCGTCCGCGCCCAGCCCGCGCGCGCCGCCGTCGCGCCGCGGTTGCCAGGGTGAAAGGGCGGCCCGCAGAAGGGAGGGGCTGAGGAGCGCCCCGCGCCTGCGCGCAGCGGCTGACAGGACCCGGGAAGGAGCGGCGCGGGTGCGGAGCGCCGCCAGTCTGCCTCCCGCTAGCGCTTCTGCAGCCTGCGCTCCCTTCCCCCATCCTTTTTCCTCCAGCGACAGCGGTCTCTGCGGCCCTGAAATAGGCCACTGGGCATCCAGCAGCCGGCGGGTGGTGAGGGCACGGGAAGGAAAGAGTATCTGGTGCTGGAGGCCGATCGGCCCACCCTGCACCCCGCACGCATCTGAAGCCCCTCCCCACACTCGCCTTTGAGGAGCAGCCAGGATCGAGCGAACCCAGCGGTCCAATGAGAGGAGAAGGGCTGGGATGGGATGTAGCGAAAACGTGGGAACGGGCGTTTAGAGGATGTAGTGGAAACGTGGGAGATGGGATATAGGATGAGAGTGGCAGAAACGTGGGTATGGGATTAACATGAGCTTTGGGGCCTGGCACAGCTTTCCCAGGCACCCTCCCTGGCACCTTGCTACCTGTGTGATTTTGAGCAAGTCACTCTCCCTGAGGCTGTTTAATCTTCTGTAAAACGAGAGAAATAATGCGAACTTTGCAGAGGATTGTGAGGATTAAATAACGTATGGTATGTAATTAGTACTGAGTAAATTATAGTCATTCTCTCTCTCTTTTTTTTTTTGGAGGCGGAGCCTCGCTTTGTCGCTGAGGCCGGAGTGCAGTGGTGCCATCTCGACTCACTGCAACCCTCCGCCTCCCGGGTTCAAGGAATTCTCGTGCCTCAGCCTCCTGACTGGCTGGGATTATAGGCGCACCCTCCACACCTGGCTAATTTTTTGTACTTTTAGTAGAGACGGAGTCTCGCCATGTTGCCTAGGGTGGTCTTAAACTCCTGAGCTGAGGTAGTCCTCCCACCCCAGCCTCCCAAAGTGCTAGGATTACAGGTGTGAGCCACTCTGCCTGGCCCATTATAGTCATTGTTAGTGGGGAGTTAGAACCTGCTTAGTGTGACGTGAGGTGGCAATAAAGACTTTAGAAAATGTGGCATTTAGTAGGCTTGAAAAAGTTCTTCCTCAAGCAGACGGGCCTTATCTTCCATTTGGATGACTCTGGAGAGGCTCACAAAAGTTCTATTGGACAGTCATTTATGATGAATGAATGAAAGGGAAATATGTATTAAGTACCTATTCTGTACCAGTTCTACAAACAATTCAGTAGTGGACAAGGCCCTGCTTCTCTCACATAGCTTACAATCCAGTAAAGGAGGCCAACCAAAAAAATAAAAATTAAAATTAATGTGCTAGGTGGTTATAGGTGCTACAATTAAAACTTAGGCCAGGCATGGTGGCTCACATCTGTACTCCCAGCACTTTAGGAGGCCCAACAGGTGGATTGCTTGAGTCCAGGAATTTGAGACCAGCCTGGGCAACATGGCAAAACCCTGTTTCTCCAGAAATTTCTTTTTAAAATTAGCCAGGCGTGCTGCTGCAAACCTGTAGCCAGAGTCAATCAGGAGGCTGAGGCGGCAGGATCACGTCAGTCCTGGAGGTGGAGGTTGCAGTGAGCCCAGATCACGCCACTGCACTCCAGCCTGGGTGACAGAGTGAAACCCTAGTTCCTACATAAATAAATAAGGCAAATTGATTCAGAAAATGGAAAAGTTTAGTTTTCCATAGGAACATCAGGGAAGGTCTCTCTAGGAAATGCCCTGAGTATAAAATGAGAAGATGAATTGTACAAGAATCTAGGGAAGAACATTCTAGACAGAAGGAACAACAAATACAGAGGCCTCGTGGAGGGAAGGAGCTCTGTGTTTGAGAAACAGCATTTATTCTACAATGTTGTCATTACGTCTCCTCATGGATTCCTCTGACTATACTGTGATTTTCTTGAGGGCTGAATTTCTTTTATCCCATGTCTGTATCCCCAGCTCAGAGTCTGCCACATAGTATGTACTTAATATATCCTTTTTAACTGGACAGAGATGTACAAGAAATGAAATGAAGTTTACAAAAGGGAAAAAAAGAGCTTGGTTAAGGCTAGGTGGGTAGTGCTTAGAAAGCCAGGGTCCAGGGTGGGCCTCTGTGGGCCAGCTGAAAGGAGTAGTGGCATGCAATCCTGCAAAGACACACCCGTCTCTTGGTACCAAGAAAAGAGAGCCTCCTATTCAACCCTTCCCAATTCCATGAGGACCAGCAAGTGCAGCCAGATGCCCAGCCATTAGCCCACTGCTGCAGCCACAAAGGTCATTCCCCACACTGTGTACTGCAGCTGAGTCAGTTTCCCATGAGGGAGAACATCTAAAGTCTAATCACCAGACTGCATGCTTCCTGGCTCTGCCCTGCTTGCCACTATGGGACCCACCACTAAGAAGAGGAGACAGGGCTTGGCGATGCCCCCACTTCTCTTGCTGCAAGGACTTCACCTCATTACTGTCAGAGGGCAATTCCTGGGCACTTTATGACCGACAGGCACCACAGGAGAAAGAAGAAAGAGGCTTTTGGGGACAGTGCGTTGCAGCTGAAATGTGATCTCCAGACTCTGTCACACGGCCACACACCCCGGGAGCTCACTCCTGGCTCCTTGCCTCCAGCTTCCCTAATTCCTTCCCTGTAGCCCAGCCAGGAGACTGCAGTTTTTGACAACATCTCTACCCCATTTGACTTCTGCCTTCATCCGATCTCCGTCTCTGGCCAGTCTGGCTTTCAGCTCATCCTGGGCCTTTTGCTTCCCCTCGTTCCCATCTGGAAACAGCTGTCTCCTTCTGACTGTGACTTCCGTCACCCCTAGTTTATGCAAGTTCTCCCATCACAGCCACTTACCAAGCTGTGCTCTTAAGTCTGCCTCCCAACCTTTCCCAGTACCTCTGACCTATAGGCAAGTCCTTTGCCTTTTCTGTACTTATTTTTTCATAGCCAACTTCATTTAGAAATTTTCAAAAGTAGTTTAGCAAATCAAATAAAGCATTTGTTCTTAAATGTGATCCCTGGACCAGCTGAATCCACATGACCTTGCAACTTGTAGGAAGTGCAAATTGTCCAGCCTTATAACTGGACAAACTGAATCAGGAACTCTGGAAGTAAAGTCCAAAAATCTGTGTTTTAATGGTTCCTACAGGTAATTCTGATGAATGCTAAGCTTGAAAGCCATGGAACTGAGAGAAAGCAAATTGTTTACAAAAAAAGGGGGCCAGGGGAGGATTTCAGAGGCATAAAAATACCACTTCGAAACCTAGGTTTCTGATTCTTAAAGAGCCTATCTAGTCATAGATATTTATCCAATTGAGGTTTCTGGGCCTCCAGGAACTGCTTTCTGAGGAAATGTCAAGTTAGAATAGCCTCCTAGAGAGGCTGATGTAGAGTGTCTGGGAAAACTGTCTCTCCCAGAACCAGGTTCCTTAGCCTCTCTGAGTGGTGCCAGGTGCTGCCCGCAGCCCTGGGCTGCCTTGTATGTGCCGAGATTCTTCCATCTCGTTGTAGAGAAATTTCTTTCCGGCAATCTTTCCCTTTGGGAGTCAGTAAAGGGCCATAGGCATGGAGTCAGCAGTCTGAATCTAAATCCAGCACCGTAGCCTTCAGTGAGTCACTTAACCTTGCTAAACCTCGATTTCCTCATCTGTAGCATAGGGATCAGAATAGTAGTAATCCCCTTTTAGGGTTGCTGTGAGGATTAAAGGAGATTATGTAGGTCAAATGCTGGCTAGTATTATTGAACAAGTGGTAGCTGTTACTAATAATTACTCTCTTACTCATCATGTCCTTCTGTTTTACCCTTGCACAGCTCTTTTTCCTTCTGCATCTTTAGGGCCTTAGCAGACCTTTTCTCACCCCATCTCCCCTTTTCCCTGTTATACCTGTTTTTTCCTGAAGCATAGTCACTAGTCAAATGCTGCCCTTTGTTGAAGCCCCAAATCTTTGCCCATTGCTCCCTGCTACTGGATCTGGCCTGAGTCTTAACATTTGCTACCTAGCCTGGGAAGACTCCAAGGCCTCTCTAGGTCTAAGTTTCTTTATCTGTAAAATAGAAATCGTAAAAGTAGCACCTACAAGAGTTGTTGAGCGGTGAATGACATAATTCATATTAAATTTTGAGCACAGTGCCTGGCATGCAGTGAGCATTCAAAATATATTAGCTATTATCATCTCTTTCTAACCATAGAAGCCTAATTAATTCTGATTTTTTTTTTTTTCACAGAGACATGGTCTTGCTATGTTGGTCAGGGTAGTCTCGAACTCCTGGCCTCAAGCAGCCCTTCCAACTTGGCCTCCCAAAGTGCTGGGATTTTAGGCACGAGCCACCATGTCTGGCCTTGTTTTTCCTGCCCTCTTCTGACTAAAAACCAAACTCACCCAAAATCCCTGGAACCCCTTGGAAGTCAGAGCAAAAATTTCTGATCCTAGGCACTCATTATAGACAGAGTCTCTTAGGAAGGTGATATAGTTTAGCTGTGTCCCCAACCCAAATCTCATCTTGAACTGTAGCTCCCACCATTCCCATGTGTTGTGAGAGGGACCTAGTGGGAGGTAATTGAATCATGGGGGCAGATCTTTTCTGTGTTGTTCTCGTTATAGTGAATAAGTCTCATGAGATCAGATGGTTTTATGAAAGCGAGTTTTCCTGAACAAGCTATCTTTCGTCTGCTGCCATATAAGATGTGCCTTTCGCCTTCTGCTGTGATTGTTAGGCCTCTGCAGCCACATGGAACTGTGAGTCCATTAATCCTCTTTTTCTTTAAAAATTACCCAGTCTCAAATATGTCTTTATCAACAGCGTGAGAACAGACTAATACAGAGGGAAAGAATGGTTCTTCCCTGATGTAGGCTGGCACTCTATACTTGAAGAGCTCTAAGACAAGTGGTAAGCAGTCAGTGGACACAAACCTGACTAGTGAAACCGTGTGAGAAGAGACACAACCAATGCACCTGTGAGTATTTAGCCTGAAAGGAAAAACTCAAAGTGGATATGATCATTGACTTCACATTTCTGTGGG